CCGTACTATTTTGAGAAATAACTCACTATTACCTATAATTAATAACAACAAAAAAAAAGAAAAAAAAAATAGAAGGCTCATAATAATTTCTGACAGCTATGCTTTTAACAAGTTGTATTCTGTGGTGCAGTGCACATTTGAGAAACACATTCTTTAGAGTATTGTTTCTTGCAATAACTAATTATTAACAATTACTGGCAGTAGTTCATATAATATTAGATGACCTGGTAAACATTAAAAAAATATATATTAGATGACCTGGTAGTACTGTGGATACATTTTTCTTCCTTCACTTCTTTATTCTTCTTCCATTGAGAAAATTTGTCCATTTATCATTTTTTATTTCATTTGCTTGGTGAACTATTCATTTGAATATAGCACTCATGATTCAGACAATAAACTCCATATTGGTGCTCAAACCAAAGTAATGGAAGGTTCCCACAAGTTACAATTAATCCTATTGAACTAGACCCCTAAACTACTATCGTTTCCACATCATGGACAAAGGGTCCTGATTGTGTTTAAAATACATTGCTTCACAAATACCATGGCTTCTGTTGTTTCCTAGACAATTTTTAAACTTTCTTATTTATTAATTAAAATTGGTGCACAAGTATTTGTCATTTCCCTTCTCAAAAACTGAGTCTATGTACAATTAGACTTTTAGATTAGACACTTAAGTCACTAGATTTTGTTAAGATTTACGAAAGGTTATCTGTGATTTCAGTTTTGGAAACTCGTTCACGAGCAAGTGCATCAGCCTCCCTGCTATTCTCTCTGTATATGGTTAAAAATAAGCCTGCATCCTCTCTGTGGTATTATTTTATCAATTATATGTTTGTCATCATCATAGCCTTTTCCCAACTAGTTGAGGTTGGCTTCATCAATTATATGTTGCAAATGCCAAACGCAGTCCACCTTTGCCTTGGCCCAACCAATTGCGTCCTTACAATCCTCCTCTATTACCACCTTGTACCCCTTCTGGTTTATGCATCTTTATCCATGGTGTAGAGACCAGGCTTCTGCTTCATTTGCATCAATGATATGAAGTGGCCCTGAGCAGGTTAATAGCACTGTGGCGCTGTGGTCGTGGGCTAAAGTGACTAAACCTCCTGCACCAGTATGCCCAGGGTTTGCCATGTGAACTTCCATTGAAGTTCAACTTCACAACTTCCAGGGGAGAGTTACACTTTGGAGGCCTGGATTGACGAGTTAATGTCGTCCTTCTCATTCCCCTTTTGCTATCCGGTGTCCAAATCAAACTATCCTCCCAAAATACGTGTAAAAAGAATTTACTCTAAGAAAGCAAGTATTAGTAAGGAGCACCAATTCATCATCCTTTAAAGCATGGCTTATTAGATGCCCATCTTCTTCTCCTGCACCAGCCACGGTGATCTTATGGTTCATTGCCGACATAAGTAATTCAGGATATTGGTCTTTTGAGTGGTTGTGATCCTTGCCATAGGCCAATCCAAAATCTAGTCTGCCTTCCAGTTCCAACTTGCACCCTCACCCTTTGAGTGAATCTAGATCAGCAACTGTTAACCCCCTTCCATATTTCTGGGAGCGTCATTTGTTGTGATGTTCCTTGACCGTCTTTCTCTTTTGCCTTTGTTTGTTATGATGTTCCTTGACAGTCTTTCTCTTCGTCATATTTGCACTCAGCAATATTTCCTGAATTAGTCTTTTTGGTTGCTTTATACCACCATTTTGTTAGGAGATTCATGTTTATTTCTCTGATTTTCCGAAGACCCAATCCTCCGCTGAATTTTGTCTTGCAAACTTCGTCCCACCTTACTAGATGGAATTTATTCTTTTCAGCAAAGACTCCCCAGAAGGAGTTTCTCATCAATTTTTCTATCTCATTTGCCAATGAAGATGGAATTAAACATAGGGACATGCAAGAAGTTGGTAAATTGGACAGGGTGAAGTCGTGGACTTCATTAATGTTATTCTTCCAGCCATTCGTAGGAATCTGGTCTTTCAAGCTGCCAAATTTTTGTGAAAACCTTTCTAAGACCCAGCCACATAGCCTTGTTAGTTTCAAATGGCACCAATGTTTGTCAGTAGTATTTATTTGGAATTCAATCTGTATAACATCCAATGCATCTCTGGTCTTTCTTGTGTCATAGCAAAGCTCATCAATTTGGTCTTTGACATGTTCCCCTTTACCCTGAGGTAACTTTAAAGCATTTAAAGAAACAGCCAAAGATTTTCCATTTGCTCTTCACTTGCATTACAAAATACTAGTGTTTCCAGCATATTGTAAGTAGGATACTGTAGGCCCTATGGGAGCCACCTTGAATCTGGTTGGTGACCTTACTTCATAGACTCTAACATCTTACTGAAGGCTTCAACCTCAAATAAAAAGAGGAAAGGGAAAGGGGGATTTCCCTGCCTCAGTCCTCGAGCTGGAGAAATAGCCTTTTGGTGCTTTATTGATGGAATAGAGAATCACGTCGTATTGTAAAAGGCACCCATCTATCCCCTTCTCCATGTTTGCTGGAACCCCATAGCCTCATAGGTCATCTACCCTCCCATTAATACAATTGTATGCACTCATATCACTCCTAGAATTTTCTTTCTACTTCTATTATGGATGCACTCATGAGCCATTAATGCACTATTCCGGATCTGCCTCTCCTTAACATAAGCAGAATCTGCCTCTCCTTAACATTAGCAGCTTGGGGAAAATAAGTTATTGGGGTTAAGACGTCGTGTAGTCTTGTGCCCAAACCCTTTGTGTGGATCTTGTATACACAACCCAAAAAAATGATTAGCCTTGAAATCTTTGATGTCTTGGATGATCTCTTCCTTTTTGATCAATTTATATGAGTTCATTGTCCTTTATACAGCCCCTTTCATATAAATATCAGGATACTAGAATGATATCCTCTTTCAAAAGTTCTGAAACTCTTGATAGAAACCCAATGGCTGCACTAGGTGCTCATCTCTCTTCATTCCAAACTCCTGACCTTATTTCTTCCTCTTCGGATGGCTTTTCAAGCCAAGCTGTGCTTTCTTGGATTGAATTTTCTTAAGGAAATGCCTTCCATTCAAAACCTTAGTCTTTCTTCTGCCGTAAGTACTTTCCGAAAATGCTTCACTATTGCTGATTGGGACTATTCAGGCCCATATTAAGATTTGCCTGAGATTGATATCCAATGTATTAAATTGCTTTTTCATCAATAATTTGATTCCAATAGATTTCTTCTAGCATTTTGCAGTCTTGGTGGGAAGTTTGGTCATATTTACTGGGATCCACATATCAAGGGGTCAATTCTGCTCCTGGTGAGGGGGACTTCGCTCTATGATTCTTAAATTTTGGAATCTCGATCCTTCCTACTAGGGATCGAGGTCCTGAGCTGCATAGGGTTCAGATTCCATAGCACTATAATGCAGTATAACTATCCAGGGTGGTATAGCAATGTGACGTAGTATAGCAGTATAGTGTAGTTCTATATACTAAATTTAGATATAATATAATAGAGTAAAATATAGTATATAGCATAGTACAGAAAATTGTTTCATGCGGGCTGGACCTCATGACTGCATATGCGGTCCAAAAAGTATAGCATCCATCTTAAAGATGGATGCAAGTAGGTGTTCCATCTAAAAACAATGGAAACTAACTGTCCAAATGTTTTCTTACTAGAATTATTATTTCTAGTTTTTAAAATTTATTTATTTTTTCATATTCATGATCTCCATGTTAGATATTGCATGTCCTTAAAAATTAAGTTAAAAAATCCATCTCAAAAATAAATTTATTAATAGGCCCGCATTTCTACATATGCAGGCTTGGCCGCATAGAAACCGGGTTCCGCATAGTATTGTGGTAGAGTATTGCAGAATAGTATTATATAACAGTGTGGTATACTATTGTAGCATATACTATACTATTATACTAGTTATGTGCTCTCTGGGGCCTCGATTTTTAACCATATGGAGCTCGGTCATACATAATTTATCATTTGATCCCAATTAAGTCTGGATTCCCCGACATGTTGGGATCGAGATCCCTAGATTTTAGAGTGCACGTGCTGTGATCCCTACCACAGGGAGCTTTCTGCTTGTCATGATCTTGCGGTCCTGATCTGTATCCCGATCCCCGATCTGATTCAATGCCAATCCCGATAACTATGGTTTTGGCATTCAATCTATGGCTTTACTACGTTGTTAAACTGTTTTGTTCCCTTTGGAGTCTGATTCAGTTTGCCTGGGAAGAGAAGCATGTCTGGAGGAGGTGCTTTCACGTTTTTCAAGCTCTAAAAATATAAAATAATTACAATTAGAAAAAACATCACAAAACTTATTAAAAATAAATAAAATAGCTGGAATGATGAATATATGCATTTTAATAATTTAATCACTTGCAAACTATCTAAAAAAGAAAGAAAAATTAATTAGTGGCATCTATGATCTATCTACCAATACCAATTAAAATTAACCGGTCTAACCATTTAAAATCATATTTCTAATCAAGAAGCATTCATGCTTGATCCTTCTAGCAGTAAAGAACTATCAGTGAGAGAAGTAATGAAAAGTTCTCACAGATAAATGAGACTAAGGCAAAAGTTTGTTTGATTTGTAAAAATCTTTTAATTATGAGGAACTTTCGACCAAGACTACCACCAAAGATCCTGAACAGGTTTTAGGATTGTAATTTTCATGAGAAAAATCAAGATTCTAGGAAAACTTACATTATCAAAAAAAAAAAAAAGATTCTAGGTAAACTTAATCTTTTTGGGTGGTTATGGTGACAATAACTTAATATTTTAATTAAGAGTAAACCCTCCAATAGTTGGGCAGCTATAATGAATAGTAATATAGGTGGAATTCCAGCCGTCAGATCTTCATCACGTAGTTTAGAATGCATATCACTATATGAATTTTAATTTTTTTTTATAAATCTGATCAAGATTAAATTTTGGGTGTATATGCCTAATATTATTGTGCACCATATAAAAATATAAAAAAATTATTTTCAATAATTTAAAATGACCAAATTACCCTTGTAATTTTTCAGGGGCATTTCGGTCATTTTATATTTTGAAAAATATTATTTATATATATATTTTTTAATTGTGTACCCTATTTTTTAGTACACATGTCTAAAATTTCATTATGATCCAATTTTTAGAAAAAAATTCATATGGTGATATGCATTTTGAACCACATGATAAAGATCTGATGGCTGAGATTCCACCTATTTTACTATTCATTATAGCTTCTCAGCTATTGTTAGCTTTTCCCTTTAATTAAAAAGTGAAGCTTGTACATAAAGGACACAAGCTACAGGTTGAAACTTGAGAATATTTATCTCTTTGCATAAAATAGTGTTTTGCCAATTTAGAACTCGTTTAACTTACATTTTAACTTCTGAGTATTTAAGCCAAAATCGATGAACAGGTGTAAAATACTTTAAAAAGAGTGGCATAGTTGGCTTTTGGCAAATAGGGCTGCTGTTGATTCTTTGGCCAAAGGCCCTCCACTTGGGTCAAGAAATTTGGTGGACTAACACCAAAACAGAGCGGGACAGCTAGTTCTCAGGTTCATTCCAGAATGTCAAGTTAAGAAATCACTCAACGGCTATTTTGTTTTACTATCTAGCATTCCTATCTTGTTGAACATTCCCAGTTTTTTTTTGCATGTCGAAGTTGGAACCTGATTTGTTGCTACGACTAATATATTGCTTATACCCCTGCTATTTATTACATTATGAGTCATTAATTATTTTGTTTTGATTATTGTTCTTAGAGGTGGAGGTGGGGGTGGTCGAAGATGGCATCATGAGGGACAGTGCACAAAAAAACAGAATGGTATCCATGATTATATTGCCTGTGCTAAATTCCTTATAGATAAAGAACTTGTGCACCATAACAAGCTTGCTGCTTGGGGCTATAGTGCTGGGGCGCTGCTTGTTGCTGCTGCCATTAATATCTGTCCAGATCTATTTCGTGCTGCAATTTTAAAGGTATTGTGATTACCAATTAAGATTATGTTAGTCCCACTTTCACTTCCTCTTTTCCCAGTTTGTAATTTTTGTCTGTTTTTCCTTCCAAGGGAGTATCTGTATGTGTGTGTAATCTATGTGTGTTGAAAGGCACACCCACATACATACACACACCCAAAAACATAATTATGCGAGCGCAAGTGTATTCTTATATGCACACAAATAAGTTCGTCTGTATTTTGTTCACGCACTTCTACATGGTTATATGTTTCACCTGTGTTTATCAATGATACATATGCATGCACGTATGCAAGCATATGGGTGTGGACATACATGTAAACGGGTGTATGTGTATGCACGTATATGTGAATGTGCCTGCTTACATATTTATATGCACTCATTTGTTGCTGTGCATTATCATTTGTGTATTCATTCCTATCGTACTGGTGGCACTTTTTATAAAGCATCTCCCCAATAATATATCTAAGTCTTTGTTCTGGTGCCATTTTCACTTCTTAGACCTCTGCATTGACATTTTTAGTTATCCTGTCCATGATCAAATTAAATATTTTATTTGTTGCCAGGTTCCTTTCTTAGATACTTGCAACACACTTATATATCCAGTGCTGCCACTTGATCCAGCAGATTATGAGGAGTTTGGCTATCCTGAAAAATTTGAGGATTTTGAGGCTATAAGGAGATACTCCCCTTACGACAATATCAAAAAAGGTGTGCCTTATCCTGCAGTTTTGGTGTCATCATCCTTTAATACAAGGTATGAATCTCAAATATCTACCTACTATCATTCCTTTTCTTTTTCAATATTCTGATTTCTTTCCTCTTCTCCGAATTTCCTGAGAAACAACAATCACAAAGGACCAGTTCAAGCTTGTGGTCAAAACAAAGTGTAGGAATAGAAAATTGTGCCCCTCCCTCTATGTTTTGAATCGAATTGCAAAAACTGAATGTCAGAAGGAGCAAAAGAAAAGGAGAATCACACAAATAGTTTCTAGTGTTATGACTCGAGATAAAACAAAAGGCTTGGCAATAAATCCGAATTGTTCAAAATGGTTTACCATTTGAAGAATCTTTAATAGAAGTTGGATTCATTCAGATGTCACAAATTTCCAGCATTAATGACTGGGTTACGAATTTGACACTACTGAATAAAATATTCTGTGACTTAGAGATTGTGCCAAACTGAAAGCCTGTGAACGTTTGGCTATGCTACTTGCACATCTGTTAGCTTCCTGTTAATGCCGTGGCATGGATTGAAGGTTGAATTCTGGACAAAACCATTTGGGTTTTTTCTTATGCCGCTTTGGATCTATATTTTAGGTTTGGAGTGTGGGAAGCTGCAAAGTGGGTTGCCCGAGTTCGTGAGCTCACTATTTATGATCCAGCACGGCCTGTTTTACTTAACTTGACAACAGATATTGTAGAAGAGAACAGGTATATGCAGTCCAAGGAGATAGCACTAGAGATGGCTTTTTTGATCAAAATGATGCATTCCTAGACTCACATTTTATTTACTCAGAAGCAGCAAGTACAAAGTGGAATTGGAGAAATGACCATGTATTTATTATGGGAAATTTAACCAAGTATCAAATAAATTTTTTTTTTTCAAATTGATACCCCTTCTATATTAAAAGAAGTTTCTTTTTTATATTCTGCTTTTAGTCTCAAAAGAAGCTTCTTTTATATTAGAAGTTTCTTTTTTTAGGGTTTTCTATTTGGTACCCGTTCAACCTTCATACAAAAGTGATGTGGAGTTGTAATTGTCAGGACCTCCCAATATGGGTGGGGCGATCTTGCTCTGGCATTCAAAATAATGATCTTCAAGGGATCTTAATTTTTAGAATTTGGAGTCTTGATTCCCACTTAGGGATCATGATTCCTACTCTTAAAGACTAAGATAGAAACCAAATTGATGATTTTCTTCATGTGTAGCCAGTTAACAACATAATTGTATTTTTAATATAGTTGCATTATAAAATCTATAAATAAATACATACTTTATTTTAATGTGTATATAATCTTAATCCTAGACTACATGTGCTCTGAGGTTGGAAGCACGATCCTCATAAGGGATCGACATCCCAAAAGGTCAAAATCAATTTCCTCAAAGGTTGGGATCTTGATCCCTAGTATTTGGGGATCTATGTCCTTAGCATATACATTGTATGACTGGTGCTCCCGACTATAAAGATTTTCTAGCATTTCACAAGTCCTAGCTCCCAATCTTAATCTTGTTTCCAACAACTATGTGTAAAGAATTGTATTATGGCATTCTCTCCCATAGAGGCGTCTTTGAGGTTAGTAAAGAGTTGAGACTTTTGAATCTCGAGGATTGCAAAATTCAAGAAAATATCTTGAAGTTTGAGCTTGGTCAATGGAATTAATGCGAATGCAGCCAACCAATATTGACATCCAACGGTCATGATCATTTGTGACTACATTGTATCAAAAAGTAAATGGTCGCATTATATACTTTTCTTTTTTTCAGACGTGCATACGTCTGCCAACAAACTTGCGGATCTCATCTTTGAACGGTTAGATAGGAAGTGTTTTAAAGTCTTCATGACAGTAAGGAAAAAAAGTGTTTTTAAGTACTAAAATTTCTTTTAAAAAGTGAAGTACTCATCTAGTAGTAGTTTATATTTGCAAAAGGCTAAACGTCACGAGTTGTATTGGTGTTAATTCTTGCATGTTTTCCATTTTCACTATACTTGCACATATATATCATATCTTAATGCCTTGATTTATAACTTTCCTCAGGATCTAAATGTGGGTAATTTTTTTTTTTGAAAGATTTTGAAATTTTTGATTTTTCTGAAGAAAATAACGAGAAATCAAAATCCAGAAATGAATTATTAGGCTTAGGAAAGTCGTGATAAATGTAGAAGTCACATAAATGAATATATATTGCTTGATATTCGAAATATCACGAGATTTGGAAGCTAACACTATTTTTCTAAAGCCTCTTGCAAATTCAAGATTATTTCAAAAACGGGAGATAATTTTGGAGACTATCCATCTGTCAAGAAGTTGGGGCGAGTCCGGGTAACTTGCCCGAGTTCAGCGCATTTTGTTTTAAGAAAATAAGTAGAAAAAAGTGAGAAAATAAGTAGAAAAAAGTGATATATATATATATATATATATGGGTGTGGTTTGTATAGTGTCGAGGCTCTAAACAATCAAAATAGAGCCCACCTTTAAATAGTATCGAGAATTGTGGTTTGAACATTGAAAATATTTGTGATAGCTTTAAAATATATTTTAATCTCTAATTACAAAATTTAAAGTTTCAAAAATAGTGTAGATAAAGCAGATCTATAAAAACTTGAAAATCTTGAAAATTGACAGTCCAAAATGCATTACAAGATCACTATTTTCAAAATATGAAATCCACTTTTTTTCTCATGTCCATGCATCTTGATGTCAAGATGATCGATTTGAAGATATTCGGACATCAAAACAATCTCTTTTAGTTAATTTTTTGAGGTAGGTTCTAATTTGATTGTTTAGAGCCTGGGCCCTATATAAATTTTTCCCTATATATATATACATATATATATATATATAGATTAGAGTGAACCCACTAGTTCATAGGAAAAAATGCGTCCAACGGTCTAGATTGAATCTGGGCCGATCTAACGATCACGGATGCCCGATAGTGTTTGAAGTTTAATTTTTTTTACAAATCCAAATTAATTGAAATTTTAAACATGTGTTAATAAAAAAATAGGTGAATATTCAAAAATATTTAAAAAATATTTTACATGAAAAAAATTATCCAAAATACCCCTATAAATTTTTGGGGGTATTTTGATCATTTTTAATTTACGTATTATTATTTTTTATATTTTTATTAGGTGCGGCTTTATAAGAAAAATATTCACCTAAAATTTCAAGTGATTTGGATTTATAGAAAAAAAAATTAAAGTTCAAACACTTAGCTGTCTGATCGGTCCAGATTCAATCTAAACCATTGAACTTATACTATTGAGCTAGTGGGCTCACCCAAGCTTATATATATGAAGGCTACTTTTATCAACCAAGTAGTAAGTAGTAGTTATGCAGCCCTGCATCAACGTACCTCTTCACAAGAGGTCCTTTGTTCCATTCCACCTTTGTTCACATCATATAAAAAAAATGATGGCTTGGATTACTATAATTAAACATTAAAATAATATTGCACTTGGTATGAAGAGGCCCTGAGTTCCATTCCATCGGGATACTCGGCCAAGTCCGAGTGTCCCCGGACTCATGCGTGGCATTGAGTTCCCAGCTTCCCAATCAAGTGATTTTTGAATCACCAATGCAAACAGTACATCCGATCGTCCACAAATTTTCAGATTTAGATATCACTCGTGATAGATAGACAACAGTTTTACCAAATAATCAAAATTAAGAATCTCCAAGAAACCCACTGATTTCTTGCATTCTTTTACCTTTAAAGAGCATGCCTTTTTTCTCACATTCTCTGGTCATTTCAAAGTTTCACTTTCTCCAAGGAGTTGTTCAAAAATTTGACTGGATAAGTAAAAACTTTTACTAGGATCCTAAGAATAGAACTTTCATTATGAGGTCCAACCATGATGTTGAGTGGTCCTCACTGTCATGGATATACTCCCATTGTCTTGATCGCAGAGGCCCCATTGAAGCTTTCGACAAAATGGGAAAAAAGCTCAAAAACAGAACAGCATATAGGAGCACTACCAATGTGTGCCTAATCCCATGCCCAACAAAATTTATGGGTAGGTCCCATGCGCCAGAATAGACAATTCTCTAATCAAGTGTACGCCCCCCATGATTCGGAATTCTCAAAACTTAATTTAACTAGATGTTTTCATATATAATCCGATACCATCGGATTCGAATTTGCAGCACAGGAGAGAGAAGTATGCACTGCCATCAAGGCGCAAATTTGCTTTTTACAGCAAACAGATGCCTCTTTTGAGAAAAAAGATATTTAGTGAGGATTCGATAAAATAGTCGAATATAATATAATCCAGTGGACTATGGAAAAAGAACATATTCCGTTCAATCATCATGGTTTAATGAAGTGATTGGACGGTGCAAAGAGTGGGTGTCAGGTCGTTCCATTTTGTGGATGGGGATAACACAATGAATTATGGTTTCCAATAGCATATTGGATTATAGTATTACTTTCTCAGTGGCAATATACACCAAAAGGTAATCCATTTCATGATTAAAAAGTGTAATTGACCGGTCACATTCTAGTGTGCGCTACCAATTTAGAGGACTTCCATGATTTTTTTTGTCCCATAATTTGCATCCAGTAAGAATCAGCATTGTTCATGCTTCTCTCCCATGCTTGACCTTTTTTCATGATTCTCCTTTAATACCTTCTTCCCTGCTATGCGCTTTAAAAACGAATATAATATAATAAGCCCCTTTGCCTTCCTGACAAAAAAGTCAATCATCTTTAACTGTTATTAAATCCTTCAACCCAAGATATACCGAAAGCCCAAAAAAAAATTTTGAACACACCTTTAGCCACTCGATTTCCCATCAAACGGGCGCCACTCGATTTCCCATCAAACGGGCGCTTAAGGTGGTTATGATCTTGTACCAAAGATAAGTGGTCTTATAACATACAATCCTCCTTAAAGTAGTCCTTAAAAGTAGAAGGTATTACCCTTGCACATGTCTTTAGAAATGACTAAAACCCAATAATTTTCCAACCCTTCATTTCCAAATTAACACCCATAATACCCATTATTCATTAGAAATTTTTTTTTTTTGGGGGTAGTTCAATGAAAAATGGTCCCCTACTCATAATATGAATAGATTTCAAAACATCACATTGTGATGCTTACTGTGAGCTTATTCCTACTCAAAACTAATCTAGTTACTCCAAGAATTCGTAATCCCATAAAAGACCCTAGCAGTTTGTCATGTAGTATTATCCTTCATAAAAACTAAATGCAGCTCTAATCAAATGAGTTCAATTATCGTGCTTACATTCATTTCCAGAGTTGGAAACATTTGAAACAGAGAGCTTTATGAGCTTTCCCTTTTTGATGATCGACTTTAAGATTTTTAACTAGGTTCATTCATGCAAGTCACATGAAGACAACTGGTTTTAATTATACATGAGAGAAAATTGAATAGGGCAGGCCCAGTCATAAATAATTCAGATTATGACCCACTTTTTAGGTACTCTAGGACCACTAATTACTACAGGCAATCTAGGACCACATTATACAGCATCCAGATAAAATATCCATAAATCTTTAGGGGGGTGTTGTTTTGCAAATGTTCAAGATAAACAATTAACAGAGACCCCTCATTTCCGAATTTGACCAAATGGCATTGTTTCAGTGAAATAACCTCATCTTTTGGCAAAAAAAAAAGTTCATAGCAAAATACTCTTAGACAACTTTGGAGGTTACGTAATTTCTGAGCGGAATTGCCATTTCCTGTTGACAATCATTTCAGGAGTGAAGGTGCATTGTACTTTCGAAAGATGCAGTTATTCATCATTAACACAGGCAACTCATCATTCAAGAAAACACATTGGTCTTCTCCATGGATATTTTCACGTGGTGGAGGTTTAATGTTGTCATGCACCGAATTCTCGAAGGAAAGACAAGACGATAACAATAGGATTATTCAAAGCCTAATCAGTTTAGGTTCTTTTTTATGATTCTTAATAAATAAAGGTGTCAATAGTTTATAGCTGATGATCTAACTTCATATCAGATCTATAGCACAGTTAGCACCCATTGGTATTGAAACTGGACTATTTTTACATAATATTAAATCCTTTTCAATCAGATTTCAAAATTATCAGGCCTGTGGAGGTATATGACCAGGATCGGTCCCAAACCGGATCAAAGATAAAGACATGATCCGAGGAAAATTTTGGTGATTGAATTATTGTAAAGAACATTTAGATCATGCATTTCAATCAATGGAAGAACACCAACAAAGAAAGTATATAGTATATGGTCCACTGCTGAAACATCCACCATCCCTTCTGAACATTGGATACTGGAGATTAACCTCACCTGGGTAATTGCCCATTATTCAGAATTATAGCTAATCTTCACCATCAATCATTGAGATCGAGGTGGATACCCTGGCTGTGTACCTTATACACACACAGGATATGTATAGTGTATCTTGCCTTTCAAAGCTTGAAGAAGGATCCAGCCAGCCTAATCGAAGTCAGTTTGGACCTGTGATGCAAAGTTTTATCTTCCTGTCTCCATATACCACTTCTTAGCCGATACTGGTTAGCATTTGCTAGTACAACGCAATGTAGTCCACACTGATTGGCCACCAAGACCATTTTATAGACCACCAGATATTCACATAAATGTGCACATAAACAGAAACATATGTAAATGAATATCAAAGGTATGCACTGATACAAATCCAACTTACAATAAATGATAATGTCATATGGTTTGCAATATGAGAGGACTCCAAAGGAGCAATTATGAAAATATGCTCCAACTGTTCCTTTTCTAATATATGTTTTTATCCCATTAAATTTTGCAAACAGATATTTTTCAACTAAAAACCCTTTCAAATCTCTCTTGAAAACATGTTCCAGTAACAAATACACACAAACAAATACAACTACAATCATCATCATCATCAACAGAGCCTTTTCCCAACTACTTACACAACTACAATAAAGTGAAAAAAGATATGATGCTTGATGAAGTCAACCACCCATTGACTATGTATGCATGAGCATTATGCATGTACTCATTATATATGTGGATCCAAGGAAATGGTTGCAATTTACAAGCCACAGGAAACAAAATAAGGGTAATATCATAAAGAATATATGGAGAAAACCATAACATAACTTTTCAACAGTTTTTTTAATCGGAAACATACTTTTTCTAATAAAGAGTGTTATATTTCAAAGAAATTTATAGGCATTCATAAATGACAATTTTGCCTAATGATTTTCCAGCATGTTGCACCCTTATTTTGGACATTTCCCGGGAAACTTCCACTATATATTCTCAGGGTTCACAGTAATTTAGGGTTGGACCACATACTATTATTGTAGAACTTTCGAGTTGTGCACTATAATGCAAAGTTGAGCTTCACACTCAACAATAAAAAGGAGACCATAAAACAGTCAATTACAGAATTTCGTAAATAAATTTATCATCTGTTTCTATCCATGAACTATCTACTGTTCATCCATCCATCTGTCATTTAATAAATCTATCCAAAACTACAACCATCTACATCTATCCATTTATAAATTATGTCTATTGTACACTCAAGTCATGCCATTCACTAGAGATAAACAATATGAGTGTGCACACGTCCAGGAAAACCAGACTACTTTAGAAATAAAATTAGTTTGAAAAGAGGGTTACCAAAGAAAGAAGTAAACCAGTGGCATGCAATTCATTTCATATAATTTCTATTTCCAGCAGACCACTCCACTGAAACTTGATAGCTTCCTGTGGTAGCCTGATTGATACACAAATCTCGAAACCAACTCTACATGCACCCGAAAAATACATAGCCCAAGAAAAAAGGAACATGAATAAACAAATTCATCGACAGGATCGAACAACTCCATGCACCACTAGCGCACGAAATCGATCAAGGGATATACCAAAACAATCATTGCTCCAAAATCATACCTTGGCTTTTGTTGTCAACCCGAAAAGCGAACTCCAGAAAACTGCAATGACAAGAAGCCCCTCATTGTGTGGGTGCAAAAGGCAGCCATCCCCTTCCAAATTTCCCCAATGCTGTAACTTAATTACCCCATCAACTTTCTTCAGCCTCCGGTATAGCAGTTAATTCCTCACCTTCTGCAAAGGTTGGATCAAGAAACTTGGCCACAAAAGCCCACATTCTATACACATCCTCAAAGTTCGTTAAAAACCCAAGTGAGGCAGTGACAACCTCCACTCGAATTATCACGTTCTTGCTATCATGACGGCCATTTGAGATTGGCCTGCATAAAGAAGTGTTATCCAGATCCACTGTCCCATGAAGCTGCTTCTGGTTCTCCATTATCTTAATATGACTGAGGTACCCAATACCAAGAGAAATCCCATCTTTATCAGCCAGCTTTTGAACGATTTCAGGGTTAATTAGGCCCCCATTCCCCTTATTTAAATTGAAAGCCACAGCTGCACCCCTCTCATACTTGATCTTTGGGCCATATATACTAACCAAAGGAGTTTCACCCTCTGGACCAGTCAACCGAAGCTGCAAGAGTGAAGTGACCAGCCAATTGATCAGATAACGAAGCCTCAATGTGGTTTTGTTGAGACCCATCATGTCGACATGATGGAGATGCCTGCAAATTATCTCAGGCTCTCGTCTACTCCAATCCTGAGTGTCTCCCGCTTCTCCTTCACTGATTCCATCTTCATCTCCTAATGTGGTTGCAGAGGCTTCTCCACCTTCTGAATTGTGACTGAATCTCTCCCTCGTGTTCTCCTCCATTGTGAAAGAGACTCTTCGCCCCATGCTAGCTGTTCTTTCATTATCATCAACACCAAAAAACCTCCCCCCAGAAAACCTGCTCCCTTCTCTCCTTCCCAATAGTCTGAATTCACCTTCTGTTTCTCTTCTAATGGCACTCTCTTTTGTCTCTCCAAGGCTTTCTTGGAATATTTCCCCTTTCGAAGTGCCATTTCCATGGAAGCGAGGAGTTGAGTTTTCTAATTTCGATCCATTTATGTCTCTTTCCTCCTGTATTTCTTCGATATAATCTTGGGATTTTGTGGCATGTGAGACCTGGGGGGCATTATCCATGGAGGCCCCTCCTTTCCGGCCACTTCCATCATGCTCCATTGACTGCTCCTCCTCAGAGACTTCCTTAACTCGATCAAGCTCCTGAGAAACTGACATAACTGCAGCATCAAATGAGAGCACATGGTCATCATATATGGGGCTTCGAGAATTCTTCGAATTCTTCATGCCCTTTGGTGAGAGCCTCTTCTGATTCTTCTTGCTTGAAAACCAGGAAGGTGGCAATGGAGAGCCTGATCTCCCTCTGTTCAACTGGCCTGAGTTATCTGACCCAAAAGGGCTCTGACCCAAATCAATCCAAAAAGAATTATCAGACTCATCCTCACTGAAAATAGGGCTCTTCATAACCTCCCCTATAGAGATACTCTCTGCCTCCTCAAATATAGTGCTTGCCCCATCTCTATCCGAGCTATTATCATGCTCCATTTCGTTATCAAACACATCTCTCACTTGGGATGACGTGAAAGCACCTGAAAAAGCAGGCAATTGAGACCCTTTCCGAGTTTCTGGCAAGAATTCATTGGCCTCATCAACAGTTTCATCTTCGATTCCGGTCAAACCATCAAAACCATCTACTGAATCACTCAGATATTGAGGAAAAACAGGCACAATTCTCACCATTCCAGACCCTGCAGATGGATTTTGCAAGCTACCCATCACTGATTTCTTTATCAGAAGACAGCCAAACCCAGTTGGATCAGACCCAAAAACTCGATAGAAAGAAGTTATTATGAAATCAGGCCTGAAAAGAGACAATCCAAGCGAATCCATGTCCTTTGGGCCCAATGAACCAGCATCTAAGAGCACATGCCAATTGTTTTGTTGGGCCAAAGCCATCCACTGATAAGAATACTTAGCCCCTGTAACTCTAGACTGAACAGGAAAAACAAAGAGCCCCACAGATGAATCCTTCTTCCTCCTCCTCTTCGTGCTCATGATCTGTTTTCGAAGCTCAGTATAACAGAGCTTCAAAGTAGGCCACTTAAACCAGGCACTATAGATCTTAGCACCCTTCTCCTTTGCACTTTGAGCCATCCAATTCACAGACTGGCTCTCATAGTCAAACATGGTTAGAAGTTTCTTATTGGTTTGAAATGGGTATGAATCAGCGAGAAGTTTAAAAGCAGAGCCCCTACTGACTGTAAAAACAAGACCATATTCATTTTCAGGAATGTTCAAATAATCCATGATCCTGGCTTTTATATCATGTTCGGCTGTTCCCTTCTCAGCTCCACCATATAAAGCATGATTACTCAAATTTGCAGTTATCTCAGATAGACTAAAAGCAGCGGACTCATAGTATTGCAATTGTTGGAAGAAAGAGAAAAGCCCAAAACCACAGTAATCAAGGCATACCTTAGACCCAACTTCAGAGAGATGCCCATATTCATCAGACCTTATCTCATCAATCTTCTCAGAGGTCTGAAATTTTGGGTACATTGTAAGGAATTTATTGAATGATTCATTGAGGTCAGGGATTGAGTCCTCACTGTCAAAGATCTTTTCAGCTGCCATGGCTGTAGCTTTAAGAAAATCTCTTTGAGCATGGAGCCTAGCTAATGATCTAGACCTTCCAAAGCTTCCATCTTGAGTTGCAGAGGGGTCAGAGTCCATGTCCTGAGATTTCACGAGAGACCCATCTTCTGAAGCCTCTTCGAGAGCTTCTCTTAACCTGCTCTCCTGTAATTGCCTTAGGATTGATGGCTTCTTCTTCTTCTCTTCCTCTGTTAAACCAGAGCCATCTTTCTTCTTGCTCTTCTTCTCCATGATCAGAGCTGCACAGTGAGATATTGGTTTCCATAGTGATAGATGCATGAATGCTCCTGAATATGAGCAAAACTACAAAAAACCCAGAACCCCAAAACCCTAGTTTTAGCCCATTAACTGGTTTCTCAGATCAAAACCCTAAATCCAAGTGGGGCTGCGGATTTATAGCCTGTGACCATAAGATCAACAACCCCAAAAACTTTTCTCAAAGAAATGGAACCCACCAAAACGGGTAAAGACAGAGAGAGAGATACTCTGTTAAGGTTGGGACCCCTGAACTAAATAAACCCTAACATCATGGCGCTTACAAGAAACCAAAAACTTTGATTCAAAAACCAAAACTTTTGAACAAGATCAAGGCCAAGGTATCTGATTCCAACTCTAAAAGAAGCTCATTTTTTAGGGAAGCCAGAGATTGAAATTCAAATGAAACAAACCAGGAAAGAGCAAAGAACTTCTGGTCAATTTTCAGACCAAACTTTCAGAAAAGATAAAGGAAACAAATAACCCTAGAGAGATAAGGAAAGCTCAGCAAGAGAGAGTGGGGAGATTTCATTTAAAATACGAGGTCTCACCAACACTTTTGACACAGGCCATTTGAGAGAGAAAGAACAGTGATTTAGACCCCAGATCCTAAAAACCCCAGATCCATGGTTTCCAACCCCAACTAAAACCACCTTCGCAATTTCCACCTGTGCAGAAAAAGGAACCAAAAAACCCAAAAATTAAAGCCACACAAAACCCCACCTCCCTTTGTCTCTCTCTCTAGGCCTACAAGACCCTGAAAACCCAACAAAACCTCTCTCTCTCGCACACCCGAAAGGGCCCCGAAAAACCAACAGAGCCACCTTTATCTCTTACTCTCCCCACCAAAACCCACCTCTCATTTACTCCCCTCTCTCTCTACCTTCTCTGCAACAGAATTAAAAGCAACCCCTCCTCCTGCAATTACTTCAATGGGTCAAGCCATACATGTCACTGCATTGATTACCCCTGCGCTCTCCCTCCATAATTACTACCTTGAAGGCACCCAAAGCTTTTTTATTCATTTTCTTTTTACCACTGGTTAAAAAAAGTATGCATTTTTAGGATACCCCATTGACTTCCATTGGTTGAAAATCCTTTCCCTTTCTCTCTCTAAACTGTATCAAAGTTCCTAAAAAATATTTGGGAAGGAGAGAGCGGGGTCCACATGTCACAGTCCTGCCATGGCCCAAGTCAATCACCAACATATAAAGCTATCTGCTGTCTAGTACACCCTGAAAAAAAAGAAAACATGGGTGTTCTTTTTCTGTTATTTTCTCTCTCTATAAATAAAATCTTGGGAGAGTTTTATTTTTTTTGAAGGTTTGTCATTTCTTTTCTCTCATCTTGGATAGGAAAATTTGCACAGGAAATTGTTTTTCCTCTTTGGATCTTATCCCTTTGAAGGGAAAATCTGTGTGAGAGAACCTCTTCATTAATTAAAAAGATAAATCTAGAGAGAGGGGGAGAGGAGAGAGAAGGATCTTCATACGATCAACTTCAACCCTTTCTTAAAAGTACTAAGCTAAGCTAAACTGATAACACTGATCTGACTTAGATATTATAACCACTTATTTGGGAGAAGTCTTTTTAAAGGGAAAGGTTTCTATATTTTTCTTTCAGCATGGAAGATCTATGCTTTTTCTACCATCCAGCTGCCAAATTTTGATTGAGAGAGCCGCTCATTATTTGATCTTAGAATCTACTTTTCAAAATACTTTATTTTAAATTTTTTTATATAAATTGTATGAATATAAAAGTTGGTACGTGCTATCTTTTTATTGGGGTGTACCTAGAAAAAGTATTTAAAATAATTTTTTGATAAAATATAATGACAAAAATACCTTTCGAAACTTTCAAAGTATTTTGGTCATTTTAATTTATTAAAAATATTTTTTTAATATTTTTCATTGGTACGAGTTTAATAGAGGATTGAACGTCCAAAATTTGATATCAAAATCGATTATAAAAAAATTAAAAATAAAATAATGTAAAGACGTGATATTGTGATTGGGACAAATCTTAACCCTCCATTCAGAATGGACGGTTGGTTAAGAGGAAGTATATAAGTTTTATGCTGTAGGAAAAGCTTGCCCTTTTCTAAAATGACTGTAATGCTCTTATCTTGTATTTTTTTTTTTTTTTGACGAGAGTAACCTATTTTATTAAGATAAAAAGAGTCTTGTAATTCTTTGTTTGGGAAGATTGATTATTCCTGAAATTATGACTATAGTGCATAGATGTACTCTTGAATAAATCCCAAATATCCTAAGGGTGCGGTTCGTATATAGCCAGGGCTCTAAACAATGAAATTAGAGCCACCTTTAAATAGTGTCGAGAAAAGTGGTTTCAATATTAAAAATCTTTGTAATAGCCGTAAAATATATTTTTATCTTTAATTATAAAAATTAAAGCTTCAAAAATAATGTAGATCGATACAGATCTATGAAAACTTGAATAATTTAAAAATTGATAGTCCAAAAAAGTGTTATATGATGCACTATTTCTAAAACTTGAAATCCACATTTTTCTCACGTCCATGCATCTTGATGCCGAGATGATCAATTTGAAGATATTTGAGCATCAAAAGAACCTCTTCCAATGATATTTTTGAGGTAGGCTCCAATTTGATTGTTTAGAGCCTAGGCTCTATGTAAACTTTTCCCATATGGTAATTATCTATGCATTTCATCCCATAGATGTTTATAGTTGGAAAAGCATAAAATTTGATCATCTCAAACTTAATAATCATGAATTCTAAAAATACCCTTTAAATCTAGAAATAATATATAGTGTAGCACATCATATAGAGTTCTACCAAATTAATGTTTTGGAGTATCAAATTTTCTCGTAGGATGCGGTTACCATGCGGCCAAGCCTGCACATGTAGAATGCGGGCTTGGCAATAAATATATTTTTTAAATATAATTTGATCCTAATTTTAGAGAATTTACAATATTTAACATGGAGATCATGAATATGAAAAATAAATAAAATTTGAATGCTAAAAATAATAATTATATTAAGAAAACATTTGGACGGTTAGTTATAGTTGTTTTTAGATGGACCACCTATTTGTATATATCATTTAGATGGATGCTTTACATTTATGGACCGCATATTGTAGAAAAGCAATTGTTCTTTATAGTATAAGGCGATCAAAGACATAAGTAAATTTCAGCCAATATAAAAGATTTCTCGCACATTACTACATTTATTATTATTTTTTATTTTTTATTTTTATTTTTTTTACGGAGTTTTGAGTTGCAGTTTTACTTTATATATACCGAGCCTAGTCCTTAGAACCTGCATGTACAAATTTTATCATCGTCGTCCGAGCCTTATTTCAATTATTTGTGGTCAATTACATAAATATGCTATCCCAACATATGATCAGGATTCATGAAACAAATGTGGCAAAAGTTTTAGGCTTGCTATCGACCTAGCACAATCCTTGTCCTTTCTCCATGGTTCGGACCAGTTACTGCGGAGTTAATTTCAATTGTGTTGAAAAGTATGAAATAAAATGAAAGGTTTCTATACTTCCCCTACAACATAAAAGATATATATTTCTCCTCTCATCCAGACATCCAATTTAGATCAAGTGAGCCGCTGACTGTTCGATTTAGATTTGACGCTTCAGATTAGTATTATTATTATTATTATTATTATTATTATTATTATTATTATTATTATTATTATTTTATACAAATTGTATGAATATGAACTTCGTATTGTCATCTTCTCAATAGGGCGCACCTAAAAAATATTAAAAATAATTTTTTAATAAAATATAATGGCCAAAATACCCATTGAATCTTTCATGGGTATTCTGGTTATTTTATTTTATTAAAAATATTGTTTTTATATTTTTTTACAAGTATGAGCTTAAGAGAGGAGTGGACACCCAAAATTTGGTGTTAAAATATTTTATAGAAAAAAATTTAAAATAAAATAATATAGAGATATGATATTGTGATTGGAGCCATCCAAAATAGATGGTTGGATAAAGGGAAATATATAAATTTTATACATGAGGAGAAGCGTAGAAGCTTGCCGGGAAATAAAACCTATGCTTTTAGATTTTGGTCATCCATGGTCGTATCAGTCATTGGAATAATTTCCATATATTTTCCTTACATTATTATCAAGTGGTTCTAATATTGTTCCTAACATTGATTATAATATAAATATTAAGAAATTAAACTCAAATTATAATTTCCCCTTTTTATTATTGGACATAGTGGAGAAAAGGGCGAGGCCCATTTCTTTGCTTTTTGGTTATTATTATGAATTAAAGTGAGGTCTGACTTCGTGGGCCGACTCTCACACGTATCCCTAGATTGTTCGGAGCCCGAGATCATTGTCCCTGTCTTTATCTTTTTTCATGACATTGTGGCACTACCCTTAAAAATGCAGGCCGACCCGACAACTAAGACCAGAATACTATTCTCCCCATATTTTTCAACGTTGAGATTCTTCTTGTAGAGAAAGAGAGAGAGAGAGAGAGATTGACGAACGTGGACAAAATGCTCCTCCAATTGTAGGAATCAAGAGAGAGAAAGAGAGAGTCGATTGATAGCTTACAAAATAGATTTTGAAGGAGAGAGACGGGTACCTCCGACATGAGAGACCTGATCTGGGTTCAAGTATGAGTCTAAAAATTGGACCTGGTGGATTGGGTTCGAGTCCAAATCTTGGACCCAAATATTATTTAGGTTCAGGTTTGCATTCGATGGAGTCCGGGTTCGGATCCAATCTTGGACCTAAACAATATTTAGGTTCAAGTTTGGGTTTGATGGGGTCTAGGTTCGGGTCCAAAAATACTATTTAGACCCAGGTCCAAGTCCGATGGATCCGGATCCGGTAATATTTCTTAGTCCTAATATATTAAATATATTTAAAATAGTTAAATGTGTAGATATTTTAATTTTTGGATTCAGTTCATTTGGATATGAGTCCCACGCTATATATTTGGGTTCTATATCATCTTTTTTGGGTCCAAATCTGGCGAGATTTGAATAGTGGGCACCCTTAGAGAGAGATTAATTTCTCCCAAAATATAAAGAGAGAAATAGATGAGAGAGAGAGAGTCATGAGGATGTGGTTGGTGGTTGAAATGTGAGTTGAGGTCATGAAGCCTCTCTAGAGAGAGAGTAGTCAACACCGGTTTTTATGCGGCCAAGCCCGCATAGGTAGAAATGTGGGTCTCTTAATAAATTTATTTTTGAGATGGATTTTAAAATTTAATTTTTAAGGATATGTATTCTCTAATATGGAGATTATGAATATGAAAAAATAAATAAATTTTAAAAATTAAAAATAATAATTATAATAAAAAAACATTTGGATAGATAGAACACTTGTATCCATCTTTCCATCTTTAAGATATACGCTTGACACTTTATGGATCCCATATATAGAATTGTGGTCCAATCCGCATTAAACAATTGTCCAAATTAATAACATGGTTTTTTTTAGTGGCGTTCATTAATATTTTCTCTTGGTTAATGTGTGAAATTTAACGCCTTAATGGGGTCCTTGTAAAATAAAGCATTGTTCACAATTTGGTGGAAAAAGACAGTGTAACATTGGGAAATAAAGGTCGATTGAGAAAGCTTTTATGGATTTTTAAGGACACCATAATTAAGATGTGTATACAGTGAACCAATGCCCTCAAGCAATAAAATCGGATGGGAAATGGATTTTTATTTTATTACTTTTCTTTTGAGAAGTAAATTTCACACCTCAATTGCAATAAATGGTTCATCCCTAGCGACCACATTTCGATATGATGATCAAGGGCCATCGTTTGTATTTGAAAAATCGGCCGAGTCAGTTCAGACTTATCCGAGTTATTTGAACTTGGGTAGTGGCCGAACTTGAGTTGTCTAGAGTAGGGGTTTTACAGTAGGGGTTTTACTCAGGGATCTTAAAAAGAATTTAAAAAAATTATAAAAAAAATACTCTATTAGTAACACGTTTTTTTATGTTTTTTTTACCGTTTTGGGAAATATTGGAAAATATTCTGACCCTGGAAACTTAATTTTATATATTTCCTATTTTTTTTGAAGAATTTCAATAATACCCCCAAT